AGGAGGGCGAGGAGCCGGCTGCCATCAGCGCCAGGAACATCCTGGACAGCTTCACCGAGAGCCGCGAGGTCGCGGAGCTCATCGGGAACCTGCGGGAGGTGTTCGCGGAGCTGGTGACGAGGGAAATGGCCGTGGAACGGTTCATAGGTAAGCGCGGCAGCCAAAGGGAGTGGTCCTGATGTTACATGACACAAACGTTTCATTATGTATGATTCATTTTGTTATTGCTGAATACCAAAAAGGGACCAAACCGCTATTTTTTGGGTCAGTGATAATGCTGGAACTTTATCAACAGGTAATTCAGATGTGGTTTTTTTTGCTCATTTTGTTTTCCATATAGGTATTCTTTTATACCTGGCATTTTACTACTGTAAATGAAAACTTAGATCTTAGATTCCAGAAATCTCAATTCTAACTCGTGCTGGGCCTTCACTTTCCTGTTCAAATCCAGGCCATAATTTAGTTGAAAGTTTGTATATCTGTCAAATAAAGCAACTCTGTTGCTCATTGAAACACACCCATTTTGTGCTTTAAAGTGTCAATTTCCTATTTACCTTTTCATTTCATGGGAAATGTGAAGAGTGGCAGCACCAATACAGATGATGATTGTTTCTCCAAGTGGAGGTAACTTGGTTTGACTTTTGTGCCACCTAAGGAAAGCTCTCCTGTCCTTGGGCCTCAGCTGAATGTGGAAGGGCCACAGTGAGGTGCATGTAGCAGTGTCCTGGGTCACCAGCCTGTTTCAAGGCACATCTGTGTGTTAGGTTAATATTTTGATAAGATGATTTGCAAACGTTCATTCAGTGCTTTATGTATTTGCAAACTGTAGCAGAGTGGCATTTTGCAGGGATTTTTGTGAAGGATGGAGAAATTCACAGTGAAAATATTGACCCAGCAGCTTTGTTTTTGACAATAAGAAATGAGGTGGGCAAACAATAAAGCAGAACCCCCCAGATTTGGAGATCTGACTGTTCAGAAGTTTCTCAGTAGCATTATTGTGGTTGGCTGAACTGACTTCCATCTAAATGATGGACATGAAACTGCTCAGACAGAAGGAACTCTCATTGCTGAGGTTGTTCAGCATCACAGAGGAAATGTCAGATGTCAGTGGGACAGGAAAAACCATTGCTGGAAAAATCACCTTGCTGTGCCTCTCTGTCACATCACATGTTTCTTTGCATTTAAATTCTATTTATGAACTTTCTGCCTGTGTATCATTGCCCAGTAAATACAAGCTCAATATACTTAAAAAGATGTTGTGGTTCAGTGTTGGGTTATAATATTTTGTGTGCTCAGGTGTCATTGATCCTTCTGGGACAAAGTGTGCCAAACCTGCCAAGAGGCTCAGTGTGAGTTAGAACACTGACATTTAGGGAATAGCTTTTATCTGGGAGCAGGGAATGCAGTGACCACCTGTTCCAGAGAGTTTCAATGAAAGTTTCCAAAGAATTCAGAAAAACTCATGATGCTCATTTTGTGATGAACCATGAGAAACAGAAGTTTGAGAAACAGTTTAATCTGCAACTACAATTTTGTAGGAAACTATAGGAAGATCTTTTTTGAAATAATAGTTTTAGAGCATCTGGTTTAGGTTCATTCTCTTCAGCTTTTATATTTGGGGTTTTATTTTATCTTTAGCAGCCTGTGACCTGGGAAAAGAATTTGCTCCTCAGTTCCACTTTTTGTGTGCACTGGTTCTGCTGTTTGTATCAGCATTAATTCAGGTGGGAAGTCAGGGATGATTAGGAGCTCAGGTTTCCCTCTGGATGCTGTTTGGTGTCCCAGTGGAATTGCACAAGGATGCTGGTGGATGCTTTGGTGTCTGAAAGTGGTGGTGCAGTGTCATCCACTGGTCAAGTGCAGCACTGTTGGCCTTGAGTCATGTCTTCAGTGTAAATGTTGGTGTGTCAAGCAGAGAAAAAGGACAGAGACCAAAGTGATCTGTGAGAGAAACAAATACAGAAAAGGGGAGCTTAAGGAGGTTTTGGTTTTCTAATTCAAAAACTGTTTTCTGACCAAATAGCTAAAGTGAGCCAGGCAATCTCCAGTGCCACACTGGATCACTCAGTGATCTTCTTGGGAATCCAGCTTTCATTTCTGTAGCTGCTTTTTGTTGATTTTGGGTTTAAATTGAAAAGCTTTTGTGTCTGAAAGTTATTATTTTGGTTTTTTTTTCAATACTCAATTTCAGTTTGTCATTTTCTTGAGTCAGTATCCAAAAGGAGACACTCTGTTACTGGCAGCAAAACAGAGCAAGTGATGTGAATAATTTTAAGGAGCACAGTGGT